CACTGGACGGCAGAAGAAGATCCAGAAGCCAGGAGGTAGGCTGAAAGATACTTCCTGAATAGGTGTCTGCTCATCTGTTTTCTAGAAGTCTAACCATGCATCCACAAAACGACAAACAGGGAAACGAATGAATCGATAGACGCTATGGGTACCTTGAAAACCTGTTATAAACATAACAAAGGTTGGATAAGCATCTGGCGACCATGAGATGGTAAGCAACCCTATTGCTTAAGAAACCTAATTTATAAGAAGGATATTCTAGCTGAAATCAAGAGAGAAAAATGAGAGGCCGTTATATGTAGATATACCGATAGACTGTATGACTGTCTAATGTCCTTTTCCCCATGAACAGAATATGGCATTAATTTAGACAAAACTTACATACAGAAGCGGTAAATACACTTTCGTTTTAGAAGGGAATGGCACATACCGATATTCATCACTTTTAGTTTCACTTGCTATCGTCTTCTACAGCCAAGTAGCAGAAGCGCATGCAGCTTATAATTCATGATGCCCGAGCCATGCAACGTTTAGCATTTTGGTGTCATGTACTTTTACATTTATTGTCTACTTTTACATTCTCGCATTAAGGGTAGAAAAGTAACGTCCAGATGCATTTGTACCAGTGCATGTCATTAACTGAGCGACGCTTGTTTTCATGAGTTCAACATGATAATATTTACAGTGGTCAATAAAGTCGTCCTTTCCTGATGGCGTAGGCAGTTAAGGAAACAGCTATCTCAATTGACGATGAATAAAACTGATCACATTAAAGCTAGAGCGAATAATTCGTTATTCATCACGACTTAATAGTCCGGTGCAAAACCTCTATACGCCCCGATAAAGAAAAGGCCAGAACTGCCTCGCAATTTAGACTAAACTCGGCGGAACATCGACTGGTTGGAAGAAGTCTGTCAAATTAATGATCCACGGCATCAGATACATCTGCATCTATTGTCAGCTAATGTTAGATCTACATTGAACAGGATCAATGACGTTGTGCTAATCATGGAAAACAATGAAGATAATGAATATAATTCCCAGTGCACCTTTATTATTCAGCAGTCATCGTTGCATAAAAATGTGGCTAACCTTTTGTTAGGTTCTCAACAAACCGTCAAGAAGGTGAAAAGACGATTTCGATCCATCGTGAATATTGCTCATTTAGTTCAGTTATTTCGAACCAACCCTCAAAAGATATTTCTTGCCTCGCGATCATTTAATGTGAAATATGTCTGAAAGCTGAACAGTATACATTTGCGTATATCCAATTAGCAGCGAATTCTCAAAGTACAGTTGCATAACCCAATACTGACTGATCGACCATCTGGATGAAAAACTCAAAAAATAGTGTGCAAATTAAAAGGGCCAGTATACAATCGCATGAAGGCATCAAGTAACGAGCAACTCACTTTGACTTGATTAATGACAGGAGAAGGATTTTTGTGCAACGCTTCGACATCGATGCATTCGTGCTCAACCAACGAAGACGCGTAATCAAGCCACGTATTCGAAGACTCTAGTATCTCGGCGAATGGAACACTGGTCACTGTGCTAACGTTTGAAAACAGCATGTTCAGCGCCGACTCTGTAAACAGTGATGCTGCAAAAAGTGAGATAATGTTATGGCAAGTGCAATTAGCAAACCAAGCTTCCAAACGACCGTCGACCAGTCGTTCGATGAACTGTCGGTTATCGGTTCTGGGGCGTCCACGTAGTGATCAGTGGTTTCCGATGAGCTCTCTGTCGTCGTCTGCATCGCTTCTTCGATCTAAGAAATATCGCTGCGTCAGAGTCAAAGCGGGAATCATGCATAAATACACGTCTATAAACTCAAGGCGAACCAACAAGAAAGTGGCAACGTAAAGAAGCGATTATGACAGAGCGACAATGCAACGGAACGTGAGAAGGATGAAGAAACGTAAGTGAAAAGCCATAATCACGAATGCGGCACTGCACCGGTCCCTATTTCCAGATGTACAGGCGCCCAAATAACGACTCCGTATTACTTGAGCACCTGTCGTACATCGACGCAACTCGAATGGTCTTACTGGCTAGAACAATACTTGCTCGCTATCAGTGATGGTTCCGAAGCTTTTGTTCCTTACAGACATTCGAAGAAAATGAAGAGGAAAGTTGGCAACCGTTAGAAGGTCGATCTTCCTTACTCTTTCTTCATGGATACATTTCTGGCGCCCTTCTTTTCAGAAAGTCAATCGTGGGACACTGATCTCCATTTCCATATCATCAGTCAAGAGTGCCTTACTTAAAGGCAGTGTCTACAGTTCTCTGGCAAGTATAGTGTATAATCTGTTTTTTCCCACAGAGTGGTACTCATTTATCAAGCATAGAAATAAGAAAGACTAGTGACCCTAATCAGGGTTAGAACCCGGGACGTTTCGGTTCTGAGCCCAACAATCTACGGACTGAGCAACCTCAGTTACAGGTTTTAGTAGGGCCTCAATCATATTGATTTCCATGTGCGAATATATTAATAAGCGTAGTTCTATCACAGGAATACGGCGATTAACTGTATCGCACGCATCTATGAGATAGGCTACTGTCACGAAATCTTAAAACTCAGCTTCGTGGAGTCACGCTTAAAAAAAATCTTCATTAGCTCGACTGCCACCTTGCATTTCTTTCATTTAAGGCACCATTTACGAACCCTTCGTTTTTGACTCCAGAACAATATCTGAGTGGAATTAACAACTGAATTAGGAAAGCAACTTCTACAGTTGGGCAGTAAACGCGGGTATAATGTGGTGTCTTCTGTTCATGCACAGTGTTGCATATTTATCTACCACGTAAAGATAAAACGACGAATAGTCCCAACCAGGAATCGAGCCGGAGATCTTTCGCCTGAGCTAGTTAATCCACTGGACTTGTCTCGTTGTAGGCTGAACTCCGGAAAAGAACATTTCAGTTGTAGGTTAGAGAGCTAGACATCTACGAACAACGTAGCTGTAAGAAACGGCGCGATGCACTACAAGATCTCATGCAACAACCATACATCCAATGCATAACACAGGCAGAGACTAACGTACTGCGGTAATAGATTTTGACCACAGTTCAGATTTTCGATGTCAGCATTTCTTTCCCAAACAAAACATCGCCGCCCCTTCACCAAGCAAGGCTTACAGCGATATTGCGCTGTTATCGCCACAAAAGCGTCTCGACGACCAACATCGTAATTGCATCCGTACTTAGCCAATCTCGGCACAAAAGACCAAAAAAATTCCATTACAATTGTGATGAATTGCCAGATCGTAATCCGCCTCTTGTATATAACCCACGGCAATCCACTTAACCTCTGGAGGAAATGTGCATTTTATTGTAACTAAGAAAGAATATGCAAAGCAATACGATGACTGTTCATTTAAGTCACCGGGAGATAGCATTATCATAAAAACCGCTTAGGCCGATGTCAATTTGTCCGTACTAGAGGAGACAATGAAGAATTAATGAAGCTTTTTAGGTATTCCTCCAAAGCCCCATCACTTCAATGTTACGGAGAAGAATAAATAAACCAAATACGGAATGGCGTGAATCGCTTAAGTACAATACAGTGTATTTTCCTTAGTCATAAAGAGGAAAGTGAATGGTGGTCATGAAACCAGAAATGGTCAATAAACGATGCCTTAGTAAAGAAATACGGCGGCGTCAGCATCCAGTGTCCCCGAAACGAATGAAAAAAATCAAAAGTCTGTGACCGTTCGGATGGTAGCGTAGCTTCCGTTTCCACGAATGGCATCATTTATGATATCTTTCTTCACTGAACTTATGATACGGCAGTGAACTTCGTTTAGATGCTATAAGCGACACGTTTCTTATTTATGAACACAATGCCTATAGCGATGCGGTCATTACAGCATTTAGGTCATCGTTTTCTTCTCATATCTAACAGTCTAGTTTGTTTGCCTAGAATGAACGCATGAGCCGCGACAGTCGACAATTACCAGTTCATGTTCAGGTAACTGATGAAGCATGCTTTCCTAGTTAAACGTGGCTAAGTACTTTCTCTTTATATATGGATATCGTACTTGGATGGATCACTGGCTACAATATCGAAATAATATTACGATAGGAACTGAAGCATGCTCTACCACGATAAACGAGCATCTATATCTGCCAACGGAGTGCGGAAGCGCTGACGCGAACCGAGAAACCGTTGAGAGCACGTAGGTTTCCTTGTAATCTACTGCACTGCTGCACAGTTGTGGTGAAAAAAAGCTTTAAACTTCCAACTTCTTTTGAAGGTCATTTTATGGAACAGATCAGATAAGTAGTCCTCTGTCAGATCACCTACGATTTTTCCATACCATGGGAAATTTTGAAGCTGTATGTAGATTTCCACGTGGACTACCACGAATAACCAGCAAATTAGGGTACGTACTGAGCTATGATATATAAGTGACAAGAAGAATCACGACCAAATCATCATGTTGTGCCGATTATTATTCTCAGCTAACTATAAGTCTGTTAAAACGAATTGCAACCGTAAAGGCACACATCACAAAGGTAGCACCACGTTACAAAAAGAGGAAAGTTAGAAACCCCTACTATGTCGGTCTTCCCTACGGGTTCATGATGATACCATTTCTGGTCTCTTTTTCATGAAGTTAATGGGGGGGACTCGATTTCCACGCCATCCGCCAAGAATGAGCAACTTATTTTAAAGGCGGAGAAGGCAGCCATGTGATAAATACAGTTTATGGTCTGATGCTTCCTTAAAACAGCGTGTCACTCATTTATCAACCTCGAGAGAGAGAGAGAGAAGAATAACCAAACAGGCGTTGGAAACCGCGAAGTCTTGATGCCAAGTTTGACGCTCCATCAACTAAGTAACCGTGGCCTTGATACAGTGAAACAGCGTCATCGTCATGCGGCCATGCCGGTTGAGGCAATGATCTGTGGGCAATCGACGAAGTGACGATCGTATATAACAGTCCTGGTGCTGCCGATAAAAAACTGTTTCGGAACTGAACACTAAACGGAGCCCAACGTTCATTCATGTGCAGTATCATAATCAATACAAAAACGTAAAGAAAA